GAAACTGGGTTAAAGTGATTTATTGAATTTCTGGTGTTTTTAACCATTCAGCAGAAATGGTGGTGAAATCTTCACTCAAAAATGATCCTATGCATCACATAACTATGTGTTATCTCTCTTTTCGTGTGACCTTACAAAGTTTTATTCACGACCGATCTGCCAAAAAAAGTGAAACTATAAAGTGACAACGGATATATACAAAAAATAAAAATAAATAAATATATATATTAAGCAGATCAATTGCATTCAACTTTGATAATAATAAGAAAATTCAGCTTTGCCATCACAGGAATAAATTGCATTAAATATATTTGTTAAATTGTAATAATATTTCATAACATATCATAACATATATATATATATATATATAGTTTAAAAAATAATCAAGTAATGTGTTTCTTTTTTACGCTAAATACAAGAAAGCATGGTAATTTTAATTTTTAGAATGTAAAAAAATATTATTTTAATAATATTAATACATAATAATTATGAAATAATTTTTAGAATATAATTAATAATAATAATGTAGCATTTAAATGAACCATAATGACATATGACAATGCATAGTGATCAATCTTTTATTTTTACTGAAATATTTTACTGTATGACAAATGCCACACAGAGAGTGGAAATGAAAGAGATTCAGTGAATTAGAATCAGTTAATTGAAACAAACTGATTTCCAGAATGAAAATGAACTTATATAAACTCTATCATAAAACTGCACGTAACACTCAAGCACTGGGTGACCAGTATCATCTTTGCCTGTCCGGCCCTGTCAGCAGCCGGTGCTTACACGACCCTTGAGTGGCGGGTGGATGTTCTGACCTATGAATGCTGTTCTGTCTCTTTTCAGGTCCATCTCTATTGCAGCGAGTCTGGTGGGTGAGGATGCAAAGACCAAGTTTCTAAGTAAGATGGGCCAGCTGACCACCTCAGGTGCCATGCTGGCGAATGTTTTCCAGAGGAAGAAATGAAAGCTGCTTGGGGTGTTTCCCACGACCCTCCACTTTCTGGGATCTCCTACTTGAAGTCAATCGTCTGCCTTTCTTTTGTTCGTCTTTGATTTGATAGGCTATATTTTTAACATATTTATGTCTTACATTTTTTTCCAGCTTCCAAAGAAATTTGCACTCATGTGTCAATGTTTTCCTTTTTTTTTTATTATGATTTTATTTCAGAGGCTTATTTGCATCACTTCACCTGTTTTTGTTTGTTTTTTGGACAATGTGAACTTTATGAAATCAAAACAATGATTCCTTCCTCGTCTTGCCGTCTTTTATGTGTTGCTGTGTCTCTGGAGAATATTTTCTACATAAGTGTGTAAAATTGTCCGGGGTTTTGTTTCTCTTATTTTGGATATGCTCCAACAGTAAATAACTGTAAAATACAGTGAATCGAGAGAACAGTACCCAATATCATGTATATTTGATTCGTGTCATAAGATAATAAAAAGCGAAGACCACTTGTGTACTTATGTACTTCTGATTCGGTGTGTCGTCTCTTGAACTCTCTAAGATTGCCTTTCAGATGTTTTTTTTGCTTTCTTAGACATCTGGCTTAGTCATAATAAATCTGCATTTAAGGACTTCTGATACAGCAAATCAGTAGCTCATTGTTTGTTCCTCATGCTATCTGGCTCCGAGGTTCATATCAGTTTATATACTCTCTATATACGGTCTTTAATGCAACTGAATTGTGCTGCATATTTTACACTTCGACAGGTGTTACTACAATAAACGCTTGGCCTTGAAAACCAACGAAAAAACATGAGAACATCTAAGATGTGGCTTGTTTTACCTCTGCATTTGGAGAAAAAGTTTCAAAGTTCAAGAGCCCTTTGATCACGTGGTCAGCAGTTGGCGCAAGGAAATCCTGGCACGATCCTATAGAAGCCTTCGTTTTGGATGATTTATTGACTGAACGAGAACGACATTTGCATATTAATTTTAATCTTTAACTTTTGTGTTTACCTTCATCGCTAGTGTAACATTTCTTCTTTCATGCAATTCCTGGTTTAAAAAAACAAGAGAGCTCATATTTGCATAAAATATTTTCTTTAGCACGAGGTGACCTGCGCATGATTTGGAGCTGATCCACTATGGTAGTATGTGGAAATTTCATCAGCAGGGATAAGTTGAAGAGGACTGTGAGTCAGATGCCAGGAACATTTCCAGACCCGGAGAGAGGAGAGAGCGGCTGCATAAAACCACGGGAACGTTCTGCCTCCGTGTTTTTATTCCTGTTGACTGAGGCCATAACAAGACAGCAAACAGGAACTAAAACGCCTGGGTTCCTCTCCTAAAGCTTGCAAGTTGGCAAAAACATTTTACGGGTGAGAGGATAAATGAAAAGAGTCAAAATTATGACACAATACTCATAATTATAAGTCAAAACTAGGCGATGCTAAATCATATTTGAGATTAAAAAAAAAAGTCAAAATGCCATGGCCATAATCATCATTATATAAAACCCAAAACTATGAGTCTAAATATGGCATACTAAGCCATAATCATGAGATGAAAAGTGACAAAAAGTTTACATTTGACACAGATAAAATGTCAAAATCATGACAAAAAGGTTAAATTATGAAAAGTTATAATTATGACATTAATAGTCAGAATTATGACAGCTGAAATTGAGAGAATGTTATTTTGAATTTGAAATTGTGAGATAAAATGTATTATAAAAATAATTATACTCGTCATAATTAACTATGTAATTATTGTAATAATATTAGTAATTATTGTGATTTTAATCTCGTAATTTTGACATTTTATCTCATGATTCTGGCTTAATATGTCTTATCTTTACTCAGTTTTAGCTAAATTTTTCATATTTTTCATGTTTATGTCTTTTTATCACATACTTTTGATCATTTTATGTCATAATTTTAGCTTTTTTGTTTCATGATTATGGCCTAGTATGTCATATTTTGACTTTTTATCTCAATTATTTAGTTAATCTTAGTTAATTATTTAATTAATGTCAATTATTATTTAGTATGTCATAATTTTGACTTTTTATGCAATAAATTATTTTTTTATATCATAATTTGCATTTTGACAATTAAAAAAAGACTGAATTATCTGATATTTTATGTGACTTATTGACCTTCACACAGTCATGAGTGGCTGCACTACACATGCCCGACCTAAACATATCACAATTAATTTTAATCATGAAAGCATAACATATTCACATTAGGTTGGGTTAGTTCCGTGTTGTTGTTTTTTTTCATGCTTGAACAATCGGTCTGTTGTGACATCTCTACATCTGCCTGACATAACAGCTTGGAGAAGCCTCCAGGAATTGAGGACACTATGTACACCTGATCTGCATGTGGGGTGGTGCGGTAGCAGCATGAAGGAGAGCGCATGGATGCCAAAACTTGCCCTTCAGCTTTTACCGATGACTGTTATTCAAAGCAGGCAGCGGTGGCTTAAAGGAAAAGCATGGCAGCTTTGTGCTTGAAAGCAAGAGGATGGTAAATTAGTGAAAAGTTCTGGCAATGTTTCAAACACCCCCACCTACATCTCGAGAGCATCGCTATCTGCCCCATTCACCCACTTAGACAGATGCCAAGTGAGCAATTATGAGCTGACAGTTAAGCAAGATAAGAATTACAGGCAAACAACTCACAGTTTAACATTATAGAATTACCTTCTGTTCAGAGAGGCCACAGACTAGTGGACCATTACTTTAATCTGATTAAGAAACATTATTTTTAATTTAATGTTATTCTTCTGAAAACTGTGTAAGGTCCAGGACCAGAAAACCAATTTGAAAAAGAGCACAGTTTCCTTATCACTTGAGGTTAATGTGCATTTCGCAGGAGAAATTAAGTTTTACCTGCTGAAACTAATGGAAAAAGGAGGCGATATTATGTATAGGCCTGCAAAATATTTAATGCACAAAATATGGAGTTTGTCATAGTAAACACAGGAAACAGTAAACTACTGTATTTGCATTACATACCAGTGTATTTATGATTACGATAATAAATATAATTTGAGTTGTGCCAGGATAGCAGGTTGCATAGCAACCATTAACAACCTAGCATTTGATTGGACGAAAATCTGTGTAGTGCAGGATGAGTCATTTTATATGTAATAGAGTTTACATCTCGCAATTCTTTTTTTTCCCGCCATTGAATAAATAAAAAATAAATAAAAAACGTAGGCTACCTAGCTGCGACCTCTCACTTTTTTACTCACAGTTGCGAGTTTAATTCTGCCTTTTCTTCTCAGAATTTATATATTTTCAAAAGTCTCAATTACTTCTTTTTTTATCCCATGGTGGAAACAAGCTTCCATAACTGAGGCTAGACTCTAAAAAATGCTGGGTTAAATACAACCCAGTGCTGGGTAAAATAGGGACAAACCCAGCAATTGGGTTGTTTTGACCCAGCGGTTGGGTTACTAGCCAGAAGGTTGGGTTAAACATTTAACCAAACCGCTGGGTCAAAGCAGCCCAATTGCTGGGTTTGTCCCTATTTTACCCAGCACTGGGTTGTATTTAACCCAGCATTTTTTAGAGTGTATGTTCAAATTGTATGCTTGCTCTTTTTTTTTTTTTTTTTAAGAAAACGATAAACATTTTAAACAGTAGTATATTACAGTTTTTGTTTATTCTTAATCCTATTTTCCATAAAAGTTTTAATTTGGCAGTCCAATCAAATTATGAGTCAAGACAAGAGAGATGCTATTTAGGTTCATCCACACAGAAAGTTGAGGGGCAAATCAAGTGCATTGCATTATGCTCTGTTGCATGTACACTAGCAAATAGACTTCACTTTTGATTTATGGGGTTTTAACGGTACCTCACAACTTAAAAGTACAATGTATCTTCACGTTGGCTATAAGCGTAAACTAACGCGATACATGTGCTTGACGTGGCGCGGTAAAATAAACTGCTACAGAGTTGAACGCTAATGACTGACAGTGATTGTCTGGTTATATGAACGTCACCCCGTTTATATGTGGACTACTTTGATTACGAGAAATGGGAGGAGCGTGTGAAAAAAACGGAGCAGATTCCACATGACTGTAGTGCAGTGGAAACACAGGGAGAGCAGCAGTCGAGGCGTGGGTGAGTGAACATCATGGGACGTAATCTCAGCGAATGAACTACAGCAGTCTGGAGCTTCATCCCTTCATCCCAGAGCGCACAGCTGCGTCTGCTGCTGAACCTCACTGGACAATATAACAGCACTGAAACTGAGATTACAGAGTCCTGTTTTAAAGTTTAGAATAATGAGAGTGAATTTTTCTGCTAGTTGGATATTTCAAGGATGGATCACACACTTCGTTCTTGCTCTGTGCACGCAGGTAGGTTTGCTTAAGTGTTTGCAAATGATTCTTATAAATCAAACTTTGTTTTTGAATTGTATGGGATTAATATAAACTTTAGCTCTATATTTTTTGCACTCTGTTTACTGGAAACTAATTTATCATCTAAGTGCTAAACTACCTTATTCCCTTCTATTTATTTCAGCGCTTTGTTGCGGAAACGGGTTGTGTACATTTAGTGCTGTAGTTCCGAGTCGTGAATGACTCGTTCGTTTGAGTCGGACCTTTGCAATGAATCTCAAAAACTGGTCTGATCGCTTCGTTCGATCTGACTGAATCGCCGCAAACGGTTCTCGTGTCGACAACTTCTTACCTGTCTCTTTCAGACAAGTCCAGTTCGTAATGAATCAAGATTCGTTAATTTAGAAGCGTTTGTAGTGAACTGAGGATTTGACTAATGGGGCGAAAAGTAAGTAATAGCTAGCCGAACGGCGGAAATGTTAAAAATATAACGCACTGCAAATAAATGTTTGTGACTTTATTGAGTTTTGTCAACACGAGCACGAAACGAGTTGGTTTTAATAAACAGCATTTAATCTTTTCAGTTAAGTGATGTAAATTAATTTGAACATGGTTTAACATTATTAAATCTAAGATTAATTGTGGCTGCAACAAACTAAACTGGGACACATTACTTCCAGTGAAGTCCGAATGATGACGCAATGACAAGAGAATTGATTGATCTTTTTTTAACCGGTTCATTGAAATGAACTGTTCAAAAGAACCGCTTCGCAGAAATAGCTGGACATCCTGTCACTAACTTAGTCTGTTGTTCAAAATTGAGAAGACATACCTAGACAAAAGTGCTTTCTAGGCTGACCGCTCACTAGGTTTTTGAGACACATCCCCACTCTGTCCTTCCCTGTCAGATTTTTCTGAACTTTTCCCTGGAATCTGAATTGTTGCACACTTTGAGGGGAACTCCATGTGGATATGTATGTTTCTGGCATTGTGCTTTGTTCATGATGGTTCTAACCTCAAGTGTGCAGTGTGTGTTTTTTTTTTTTAATAAGAAATCATTGGATCTTTCCGCCAAATGTAAATGTGATACTCATCAAATGTAAATTATCATTACATTCCTAGGAATAGAGTAAAACTCCAGCTTAAAACTCCAAAAACTTTTGTTCCATGCAAACATTTCGGGAAAAAAACCCTAATATTGGAATTTGACAACATCTATTATATTGTGGTTTGTGAAATTAGCAAATTTTACAGATCTTTTTTTTTTCATTCATTCATATTTTCATTCATTCAGTTGTTTTCTGAGTTATCTAATGTTGCATCAGGTCAAACGTTTTAGCATGTTTTCTTTTGCATCACACGCAGGTCTGAATATGTGGTTGCCGGGTTGTGTTTTGTTGAACTATTTATAAGCTAAATTATTTATAAATGACTTTTATTTATATATTCACTTGTAGAATACAGTAACACAACATAGCTATCTTTTTGCATTCAAAATAGAACAAATGCAAAGCAATGCACATGACTTGACTGAACTGAGTCATTAGAACTGTGAGTTATCTGAGTGCTTCTGCTATATCCTGTGAGAACTGATTTCTCTGTGTCCGGTGCGTATTTTCTAACATATAATTTTTCAGGGCGTCGCTGACCATGATCTTATATATTTAGTCAATGAAAATATGTTTTGTTGCCCGAGTATAGCCTTACATTCAAATGTAGAGGATCAGAAATGAACTCTGGACATTCCTTTTGGGTTTCCTGTGTTTTTTCACATGCGTTCATCAAAAGGTCTTTAGGTCCTTCAGCAGTGGTAGAAAAACCCTCAAAATTAAATCTTTAACTATGTATAAAATCTTAATAGAAACAAAGAGGAGAATATTTTCAAGTATTCAATTTATTGAATGTTTATTGTAATTTATTGTTTTACATTTAAAGGTGATTTTAATAAAAAAATGACATTTAGACACACTGCAGTAGGAGTAAATGTGTGTGTGTGTATATATATTATACTGAGTTTCATGTACATCAAGGAATATAGGACATGTTTCATCATTTGAATAAATTGGTTTTAGTGAAGTGAACTAGTCCCTTGTTTAGACAAAACTTGTTGTCATCAACAAATCTGATAAGGAAATCTTATTTCCTCATGAATTTCCATGATACCCACGGATTTTTCCAACTGGCATGATGGATAAATCCATTGATCCATGATCAATCCCAGGAAACCTGTATAGGAAAATGTTTGCTTCTGCTTTTTTTGTTTTTTTTGCTTTAGAGAGATAAAGAGAGCTTTTGTATTTCATAAATCGTCTTCTGTAGTCCCTAATACAAACAATATTTCTCTTCCATTTCTATCATTTGAAAATATGTGTTGGCTAGAATACAGAAAACTAAGGCTTGAAAGCAATTTATTTTTCACTGGACTGTGCAAAAAGTTGAATTTGAGCATTATTTCTACCTATTTTAACAGTCTACAAAGAAGCACCTGGTACTTCAGCCAAGTCCTTTTCACCTCCACGAGAGCCCAGTATGCTGAGCTTGGCACTATTTTCTTTTTTTATTGTCTTTTACATGAGTGACAGCTAGATTTTCTCAGATTTGCACTGAATTAAAGGATTGCATTTAATTCTGCCCTGCTGTTAAACCGTGGAATGCTTTTGTGGTATCTGGAGGGATGTGGGTGGTGTTCTTTGCTTTTCTTCTTGCTTTTTTCTTCCTCTGAGTTGGGCAATACCCCCTCACCATACACACACTCCCCCACTCTTTCATTCCCTGATGCTTTTACCACTCAAATGATCCTTATTCCTTGAAGATTCTCATTCCCCGACCAGAGAATATTCAAACAGGCCAAACTTTGTGTAGTTTTTCTGTTACTATATAAATCACCCAACGGACTGGAGATACAGTGACCCCCAAAAATATCTGAATGCTTAAGCCACACTTAAAAATGCCTGAATGCCATTGCATCAGATTACTGACTAACCAATTGGCATGCAGTTTAAGAAAAATAACAAAACATTTTTAAGAAAGAATGTTTTCACAATAGTAAAATAAGAAATGTACTATTCAAAATTAAATTGATACTAATCAAACTTGGGACCCGTTGGTTAAAAGTCATTGTAAACATGGCTCAGAAAGGTAAGGCTTGTTGTTAGTTTTATGTTGTGAAAAAGAATATGAGCTACCATTCAAAAGTTTGGAATTGAAAAGATGTTTTAATATTTGTGATAGAAGTCTCTTATGCTCACCAAGGCTGTGTTTGTTTGATCAAAAACACAGTAAAACAGTTATAATGTCAAATTATTACAATTTAAAATGTTTTTTTTTTTTCTGATGGCAAAGCTGAATTTACAGCTGCCTTTACTCCAGTCTTCAGTGTCACACGATCCTTCAGAAATCATTCTCATATGCTGATTTGAAACATTTCTTTTTATGAGTGCTAAATAGTTGTGCTTCTCCCATGGTAAATATCTGTAACTAAAAACCTCCCATGGGTGACCTGCGAGACTCTCAAAGCTGCACAATTCATTTAGTATCTGTCTATCATAAATGTGTGTTGCTGTAGTTTGTCATTACGTTTTGCCATTTAGCAGATGCTTTTATCCAAAATGACTTTTAAATGAGGAATATCACAAACATTTTATCATATAAGAGCCAATACATTTGTTTAACTATTGTTGTAACTTTTAATTTCAGGCAGGGCTGGCCATAAGCTGCCAACAAAACGAATATGAGCACAACGGGGGATGCTGCAGAAAATGTGAACCAGGTGAGCAGCAATGCAGACTAGTTTATTATACTATGTAGAAAGACACTATAAAACAATCCATACATTCATTTTATGGTGTGAGTGAAGCCTGTCTGGGAAAAATAAGATCAGGTCTAAATCGGCTCGTTTTTTCCCATTTTAAAAAGCAGAAGGATAAGAAAAAGAGGAAGAGGCCTACACACACCCAAACGAACTATAACCTAACTTCCACTATACAATTCAGAAGAACATCATCTTTCTCAATATGCATTCACTGACCTTTTCCAATGACTTAAAGAGCTAACACATTTGCATCTTTAGATGGGCAACTTATTGCATGATTTTCCTTTGAATGCAGGAAAATACATTTTCGCCCATTGCGACGGCAGCTCGAGCACAAAGTGCCGTGATTGTGGCCATGAAGAATACCAGCCGGACTGGAACAGTGACACTAAATGTATTCCTCAGAAGTTCTGCGATGAGGGTCAGTGTCACATTTTGTGTGTAAAGAAAGAATGTTGTTTAATTTTGCATTATATTTTGACACCACGCACCAATCATTCTCTGCAGGTAAAGGATTTAACCGCACTCGTTTACACAACCCTACAGCGGCTGAACCTTGTCAGTGCAAGCAGGGTTTCCACTGCTCTCTGATCAACTGCGAATACTGTGAGGCCATTAAAAAATGTCCCGCAGGAGAAGGAGTCGTAATGGGCGGTAAGAGCTTGTGGTGACTCTAGTCTACATTGATAAAGGGTTAGTTCATGACATGAAGGTGAGCATAGAATGATAGAATTAGAATTTTAGGGTGAACTATACATTTTATAAGCTTATTCAGAAGTTTAAAGTGGGAGCCATTAATCATATGTCTTCTAGATAGATGAAGTGTAGGCCTTCCCGTAATTGAGAGTGCAGTAAATCAGTGGCTTTTTCAGCTCTGTGGTTTTGAGCACAAGGTTTAGTGCCAAATGGAAAGGAACACTATAATACAGTTTGCAGAAATGGATCTGGACACACTGTAGTTTACATTTTATCTTTAGCATCTAGACATTTACACTGTAATTAAAATTAAAAGACATCACATGGCTTTCTGTAGACTATCTCTATTTATATGCTCTGTCTATCTGTCGTTCCTTCTATTATATCTATCTATCTGGACAGATAGATAGATAGATAGACAGACAGACAGACAAACAGGTAGAACGGCCAGACTGATGGATGGATGGACAGATGAATAGAACAATAGAATGGTAGATAGACAGACAGCAATAGATGGATAGTATGATTGATAGGTGGATAGATAGAACAGTTAATAGGTAGATAGATGATGGATGGATAGATGAATAATAGGTGGATAGATAGAACAATAGATAGATGGATGGATGGATGATAGATGGATAGATAGAATGATGCATGGATAGACCGATGTATAAACCAATTAAACGATAGAACAGTAGGCAGGCAGATATAACAATAGATAGGTAGAATTATGGATAGGTGGATAGAAAGAATGGTAGATGGATGATGGTCAGATGGATGGGTAGATGGATGGATAGAACAATAGAACGGTGGAAAGACAGATGGAGCGATAGATGGATAGAATAATGGATTGGTAGATAGATGGTAGATAGAATGGTAAATGGAACGATGGATAATAGGTGGATGGATGATAGATGTATAGAAAAATGGTTGGATGGATAGTAAACAGAAATACAAATGAGAAGGAAAATGAATGCAATAAAGTTATACTTAAGATAAATAAAATAAGCTTTTGAATGTGCTCAATTGTCTATTGAAATCTGTCTCTCTGTCTATAATTCTTTATCGCTTTCTTCATTGTAGAGACGGGCAGAGCTTCCTGTGTGCCTTGTCAATATGGATATTTCTCAGATTCCATATCAATAGAAGCCTGCAAGAAATGGACAGAGTGAGTATGCCTCTAATCTAAGCTTAAAAAGTCAATACAATAACAACTCCATAGGTTTAACAACAGCTGGGAGTGTGCGCCACAAACATGCCTGTCCTCTGAGTCACACACACACAACTGTTCTTTAACAGGACTCATTTGCAAAGTCACAGCTCTCATTCTCACAGGCGTTGTTTGTCTGGGGAAGGTCTCAGGCATGCTTGGTCATTTTTTAAAGCCCCCACAGTCTTACCGCACTGTGGTATTATGATTAATTTCACCACCACTTCCCCTAGAAAGAGCCCCTTTTCTTTTTGCTCTTTGTATTTGTGGTTCCTCGTAGAAGAGAAAATTGGGACTGATCAGATCAGAAGTGACCAGACTGTTTGGCTGCCCTCTTTTGATATTCTATTCCACACTGTGGTATTGTGATTAATTTCTCCACCACTTCCCCTAGAAAGAGTCCCTTTTCTTTTTGCTCTTTGTATTTGCGGTTCCTCTTAAAAGAGAAAATTGGGACTGATCGAACCCGAAGTGACCAGACTGTTGGGCTGCCCTCTGTTGATATGTCTAATTCTATTCCAGTTGTATAGCTTACAATATTTCCAAAGCATATTCACTGTATTGATATATCTAATTCTGTTCCAGTTGTAAAGCTATCGGCAAGACCGAGAAACAATCAGGAAGCTCTAAGACAGATGTGGTGTGTGGAGTCCATTCTACTGGTAGGTTATTTAAAATGTTTATGTTCGGCCTCAAAAAATGCACGGGTATTGAGGAACTATTGAAGCTTAATACAGTGATTGAAATGATCAAAATATCAGAAGAATATCAGAGAATTTTAAATCTGGTCATGTCATAGAAGTTCTATAGTAAATACATACAGAATAAAAAAATATTCATGAAACAATTCTTATTACTATTATTAAAGTTGAAAACAGATGTGCTGTTTAATATTTTGGTGGAAACTATTATAATATTTTTTCTTGGATACATGAAGAGCATTAGACGGGCAGAGCTTCCTGTGTGCCTTGTCAATATGGATATTTCTCAGATTCCATATCAATAGAAGCCTGCAAGAAATGGACAGAGTGAGTATGCCTCTAATCTAAGCTTAAAAAGTCAATACAATAACAACTCCATAGGTTTAACAACAGCTGGGAGTGTGCGCAACAAACATGCCTGTCCTCTGAGTCACACACACACAACTGTTCTTTAACAGGACTCATTTGCAAAGTCACAGCTCTCATTCTCACAGGCGTTGTTTGTCTGGGGAAGGTCTCAGGCATGCTTGGTCATTTTTTAAAGCCCCCACAGTCTTACCGCACTGTGGTATTATGATTAATTTCACCACCACTTCCCCTAGAAAGAGCCCCTTTTCTTTTTGCTCTTTGTATTTGTGGTTCCTCGTAGAAGAGAAAATTGGGACTGATCAGATCAGAAGTGACCAGACTGTTTGGCTGCCCTCTTTTGATATTCTATTCCAGTTGTAAAGCTTACAATATGTCCAAAGCATATTCACTGTATTGATATATCTAATTCTGTTCCAGTTGTAAAGCTATCGGCAAGACCGAGAAACAATCAGGAAGCTCTAAGACAGATGTGGTGTGTGGAGTCCATTCTACTGGTAGGTTATTTAAAATGTTTATGTTCGGCCTCAAAAAATGCACGGGTATTGAGGAACTATTGAAGCTTAATACAGTGATTGAAATGATCAAAATATCAGAAGAATATCAGAGAATTTTAAATCTGGTCATGTCATAGAAGTTCTATAGTAAATACATACAGAATAAAAAAATATTCATGAAACAATTCTTATTACTATTATTAAAGTTGAAAACAGATGTGCTGTTTAATATTTTGGTGGAAACTATTATAATATTTTTTCTTGGATACATGAAGAGCATTTATTTAAAATAGAAATCTTCCATAGTATTATAGAATCTATACACTCACTTTTATTTAAAAAAGGATTCTTACTGATATTTACATATATGAATTTGAATATATATATATATATTAATTAATTTACAGTATTCAAAATCATATATAAATTCACACGCACACACACATTCCCAATATTCATTTACAGTATTCAAAAGTCAGATATACATGTATAATATATATTTAAAAATTTAAATGTATATATTTAAAATTCCTTAAAATCCAGTAGTCTCAAATGACTGTAAAAGTCATGGAAAATTAATTAAAACATTACTCAAAATGAGTGGGAACCCACATTTAATGTGATGTCTGGTGTATGTAATTGTAATTGTCTGTAATCTGCCAACTTGAATCGACATGCACAGCTGCCAAATTTTCTCTATATTGTAATCATTATGATCACATATGTAACAATCGCTTTAATGAGCTTCTGCCTAAAATTAATTCGTGTTAGCTAGCTGTATGATTCTATTATCTTAAACCGTTCATTTGTGAAATGAACATTACTTGGACACATTCACTTCTGCTTTGTAATGTAATGCTTTGAAACAATGTGTATTGTGAAAAGCACTATACAAATACATTTGAATTGAATTGAATTGAATTGAATTGTAATTTTTGGTAGGAATAGTTTGCATGTGTTTCTTTGTTGCTCAAGACATTTTGCCACTCATGCAAGAGCAATAAATGTGATTGTGCAACACAGAAAACAATTTACTAGACCCTCTATGATGATCTGAATAACTGAGAAGCTTCACAAAGCGGTGTGACGAATAAACCTCCTCATCCTCCTCAGGTATGACACCCTGGGTGCTGGTGGCCATCCTCTCGGTCATCATTGTGGTGTCCCTGGTTGTTCTCTTTTTGTTTTGCTGCAAGGATAAGCTGAACTTCCTCTCAGGTAAATTTAGTTCAGGGTTATGTATGTTTGCTACATTTTGTGGTAGATTCTTGTCTATGTTGTTGATTAAAGCTTATTTTCTGACACCACAGTAAATCTACGCACTTGCGTCCAAAACCTGAAAGGAAGTAGGAATCAACAGGTAAGTAAGAAAATCTGAAAACTAGCCTTGTTCCAAAACCTAGTGACGGAGACTTAAAGCACGTGCACACCAACAACAATAACTATATTAGCATCCACAACAATGGACTATAACGTTCTGTGTATTTTAAGCACTCGCAGAAGTAACATTGTCTGTCATTTTAAAAGCTTTTTAAAACAGAATTTTCATCATTTATCAGCTGGAAAAAATTATTCTGAAAGTGATTCCAACAATATCATTCCTCTGTTTTGTTTTTGTTATAGTTGTGATGTGGACTGCCCTATTATCACACAATTATAATGATAACTCTGTCTGGACTACAGCAGCCCTGCTGGCAAAGAAGCCATGTCGGAGATGAGAGGCATCTATGGGGAGCGAGGTCCGGTTGAAGGGCTGTATAGACAGAACGAACCTTGTTGCTGCAGCATAGACTCCACCACCGTTCCACCTCTGCGGTCGGTCAGCGCTAATGACCAGGGCCTTTCACTGATCCACAGCGATGACCGCAAACTGTCCGACCCCGATGCAGACTTCCAGAACCAGTGCTCAGAATCCGCTCTCACATCTGGTAAGATATTATCGCATGCAAAAATAGTGACAAAACGAATGAAAAGCTGTCTGTGCATCTGAGGTATTTGAAGCTGTTGCTTCATAGTGCAGCACACGCAAATCTGTTAAACTCATTTAGCACATGTGTTTGTGCCAGATTTACAAGCACTGTCATGCGATTCTGTTTCAATTGGACAAATACGGCATGATATGATGTGAAAGATTGGAAATGATCAAAGTCATGACCTCAGAATAGCAGGTCAAAAATGCAGAGTGTGGAAATCATTCCCGTCTCAGTGCTTTAATCATGAAACAGATGGCCGAGCTAACAAACTAGCAGCACACCATTGTATCGGCTGATGTGTTGCACTGGTTTTCTGGCCATATATCACGTTTCTACACTGGTGGATCCCTGTGTAAACTTTTAAAAGTGCTAGAAAACAACCATTATTAAATGTGAATCTTTCTTTACTAAAAGTTTTAGCTACTATTAATAAAATACTATATAAATAAAATTAATTATAAATTGTGTGTATATACTGTATATATATATATATATATATATATATATACTTATTTGTATAAATAAATAATATATAAAAATATATATATAATCTAATATAACCTATATATAATCTATGAACTCTATATATTTATAAATTATAAATATAAATGTATTTATATGGGGGATATGATGCAAGGATTCATTAAATCGATTAAAAGTGACAGTAAATGTTACAATAGAAATCTATTTTAAATTAATGTTCTTTTGAATGTTCAATTAATCAAAGAATCCTGTATCCATAAACACAGTAAGCAGCACAATTGTATTCAATGTTGATAATGATAAGAAATGTTTCTTGAGCAGCAAATCAGCATATCAGAATGATTTCTTTAAGCTCAAGGACACTGAAGATTACATTACATCTGATCTAAATATATTTAATATAGAAAACAGTTATTTTAAATTGCAATATTTCACAATATTAATGGTGACCATAAGAGATGTCTTTTAAAAACATTAAAAACTCAAAAGTTTTTTACTGTAGTGTATATCTTTTTAAAATAATTTAATCATTTTAAATAATCATAAGTACTGGCAAAATAAAGCTTTGCATTTCAATAACACGTTACTTAACAGTGTCTGTGTTACCTGTATTCCATCCTATTGTTATTAATCTCCGCAGAGGAATTACACAATATTTACACATGTAGGTCATTAGTGTTATTCAGTAATATCTAATGTAAATGCACAGTAACCTGAACACTAAAATAAAGTGTCACGTCTTGTAGTAATAATTAGAACAAGCACATTCAGGTCATGTGCATTCCAGTAAGTCGTGTTTGTGAAAATATGGCAGGCAGCCACCGCAAAGACTGGGTGTAGGGTCCTTTATGGACCAGTGGCAAAATGACTAAAAGATGTGTGAAACATGAGTCATTGATAGTTTGTGTGTATATTCAGAGAAAAAACAGGAACCATATAATCTTCTCATGTTGAATTTTTAAGTGGAAGGAAAGGAAGCAGTTTTGTTGCTCAACAGAGGTTGACACAAAAACAGCTTTTTGCCAATTCAGTGCTGACGTGGCATTATTAGCTTCCAGTTTGTAATGTAGACTATTTATGTGGACCACTAAACATCTAAAGTAGTAGGGGAGCGTATTCACGTGTTTCAGCAAGACTACAAAGCAGCCTTTTATGAATGAAAAGTACACATCTGGTTGCATTAATATGCTAAATGTTTAGCCTTAAAATGTTCTTGTTTAGTCTTCCATGGTTATTAACTAAAACTAAAACCATTACAGTATACATATATACACACACACACACAGTATACATATATGCATATTTTTCATTTTTCATCAGTTAATGTTGAAGCACTAAAATAACTAAAACTAAATAAACTATAACTAAAACTAAAACAACACAATTACTAAAACTAACTAAAATGAAAACAGACAATATAAAAATAATTAAAATAACTAAAAGCTAAATCTGTGTAGACATTAAAAGAAAAGAAAATATACAAAATTCCAAAAGAACTAAAAAGTAAAACCTAATAAAAACTATATAGACATTTTAAAAGGAAACAAAAACGAATAAAAATGTCGAAAAACCAAAACAAAATTACTATAACTAAAATGAAAACAGAAAATATACAAAATTACGAAAATAACTAAAACCTAAAACCTAATGAAAACAATATAGACATAAAAAAACTAATAAAAATGACAAAACAAAACAAAATTACTAAAACTTTCAAATGAAAACAAAAATATAAAAATTACTAAAATAACTAAAAAAGCTAATATGACAAAAAACCAACAAAATTACTCAATTAAAAATGAAAACCGAAAATATAAAAATTACTTAACTAAAACCTAAAATAAACACTATATAGACATATTTAAAAAATAATAAAAATGACTAAACAACAAAAATACTAAAACTAAAATGAAAATAAAAACAGAAAATATAAAAATAAAATTCCATATAATTAACAGAAACTGCAATAGTACATCAATGATGCTAAAATAACACTGGTGTTAATTTGTCTCCAGGAAAGGAATGAATATTTAGTTAATGGAAATATAGTGGACTATTTCTGCCACCTTCCGCTAACACTGGTTCTGATGTGTTGTCTGTTTTTGGCAGGTCAGGTGACGGGAAACAACAACACTACTTTTATCTCCAGCGGGCAGGTGATGAACTTCAGCGGTGAGGTCATTGTGGTGTATGTCAGTCAAACGTCACTGGGGAGCAGCGGAGGAACAGACGAACCCTTCAGCTGCCCGGTTCAGGAAGAATCCAACGATGACAGTTTTCAAAATGAGCCCAAATCTAACATAACCGCAACACCGCAGGCCAAGAGCAGGAATGGACACCTGGAAAAACACCTGCCCGTGCAGGAAATGACCAACGACTGGTCCTGGCAGAAATAAAAAGCTTCAAACATTTCCTACTAGACTGGAATTGACTTTGTCTCTTTTTAAAATGATTATTATTGATTAAGGATGGGTGTACGACAGCCCGTATAGCAACTAGAGTGCTATTTCATGAAAAATGCTATGCATTTGTTGACCTACGTATTTATATTGTATAAATTAGCTACTTGTTGTCGGTTTTGCGGTTTCAGCTTTGAGAGGATCTCACTGGTGCGGATGCTAATGAACGGATGACAGTAAAAGTCAAGAACATTGGCCCCAGAATGTCTCATTTTCAGACAATCTCTATGTTGAGGAGCCAAATAAAGAGCGGCTTGGTGTGACAAGAAGCCAACCTCAGGCCAAAGTCGATGAAAATACAGCCAGATAAAGCACAAACACATCCACCACAACAAAAGCACGACGTTTTTCACTGTCCCTTTCTCTTGGCCTTCTGAAATTGAGCGATCACATCGAACGAGCTCATGGCAAGAACCATTTTAGGATGATGGTTAAAACTTAGTAACATCGAAATGAGAGATTTGTGGTGTCTATATTGTTAAATAACAGAATTTGTAAATGTTAATCTTTTTTTTTTTGGTTATTTATCGTGCCGATTTTGTACCGCTGGCTAACCCGAATAGTCAGTCTGACTGGAGCAGAACATGTAATCACGAGCATTATTCACAAGCATTAAATGTATATAGTGATTGAAAATCAATGTTTTCGGATATGAGTAGTGATTTTCTCCACCCATTACTGTAAATAAAGCTTGTTTGTATGAAACGATTTCTTTCCCTTAAATGAGTGTGTGATGGTATGAGAAAGGTATTTGGGTTAGTGATAAGCAGTGTTTATTGCTTGTGCATCACTAACCACATGTGCGGTAAAACCTCTGTATTCGAGCAAAACCAATGTTGACATAAATAGCGGTGAATGGCTACCAGCTGTCGCGAGCTCAATGCAAACATGTACTCAGGAGCGCAGTGTTTATCCACATGAGGTGAGAATTCCACCAAAGGCTGCTGGATGTTTAGCTGTGATTGGAATAATCACGAGTCTGGGATGGTAACAGAAACAAACACTGAGAAGTGCTGTTGAGCTCTGTCTGCCAAAACAGGAAGTTCTAACTGGTTTTAATGTGGTTCTGCTCAAAGAGCCTTCAGGCACATTTGGTGACTCGTGACTAGCAGTGACTGTTGAGTTGTCCTGCCATCTAGTGGAATGCTACTGAATACTAAAGGCATATCCATTTACAGAAAAATAGTAAACATGACATTGTAAAGACAAAATGTTGTTTTCGAAATTCATTTATATGCTATTGCAGTTGATTTATAAATTATAAATATTATTTGAAAAAAAAAAATTCTACTCAATATTAGAGTAAAACATGTTCAATTCCAATTTGTTTGTTTTTGTGTACAATTTGAAGTTTTTGTAATTAATTTGTAATTTGTACTGTTCATAATAAATTTATCTAGAAAGATACATATGCATGTAAATATACATGTAGATTAAATATGCATTAATTAAATAATTAATTTAGGCATCAGTATATGTATTTAAAATCTATATTTGTTTATTGAGATATTTCAGTTATTTTTTATTATTATTCTTATATTCAAATGTTTGGAGTCGGTCAGATATATATATATATATATATATATATTAAGCATGATCCTTCAAAAATCATTGTAATATGCTGATTTCGTGCTCAAGAAATATTTATTATTTTCAATGTTGGAAACTATTGTGCTTAATATTTTTTTGGTGGAAATCATGACACATTTTTTTCAGGTTTCTTTGAAGAATACAAAGTTCAAAAGAGCAGCATTTATTTAATAATATTTGAATATACAGTATACCAGGCAGCTGAAATCTTTCATAACATTCTAAAAGTCTTTACTGTCACTTTTGATGCATTTAATGCATCCTTCCTTGCTGAATATAAGTATAAATTTCTATTTAAAAAGGTAACAACAACAACAAACTCGTATTGACCCCAAACATTTAAACAGCAATATATGTTTTATTTATTATTCTTCCACTGATTCCACATTGACTAATTGAATATGACTGTTCTTATCTGTAGAGAATTGGGAATCTGGGGGAAGACCGCTGAAAAAGAGCGATGGATCATTCCATATTCCCTTGGTCACTGTAGAGGTGTCAGTGATCCTAATATGTTACAGTTGTGTCCAAACAGATCATGTGCTATCGGGTGACGGGAGAGCCCCAGGTTTGGACACAGCTGCTCCTCTGGCTTGGCTGGAAATTACCTGATTTTTGAAGATGAAAAATTGAACCTAGTTTCCCACCATTTAAGATCGAACAGCACTCACTGGCATCGGTATGTAGTTTTTGGCCATTTTAAGGTTCACTCAAATCAACTGTGGTTGCCTAAGGATGTTTATGTGAAATAAAACAGCAGTGTCTTTGACAAAATACGGCTATTGACGAAGTGTTATAGGAAGGAAAGTCCTTCAAAATCAAGTGAAACATTTTGCCGGTGGGGATCATTTAGTGCAAGAGTTTCCTGGAATATCTTCAGTGAGTGTAGCCAGTAGGACACACACACACACACACACACACACACACACACACACACACACACACACACACACACACACACACACACAACAGCTAGCTTTATTTAGCAGCATGACCTTTCAGATATAAGCAGAATATAAAGCGAATAAATTTATTTTGCATGCAAAAAATGATTTCTTCTGACCTCAGGAAAGAAAAGGGGATTTTCTGTCCTCCTTATTCAAGTACAAATGACACTTGAGCATTTATTATGACACTCACTCAGTATCATGAGTAGCTTTGAAAAGACCCTTCTTGCTGGTTCACATGTGATAAGACTGTTGGGAAAATGGATGTCTTAAGGTAAGGTGCTTTTTATTTCATCAGTAACTTGATTAAGAGATATTGATATTATCATTTATTATTATTGTTACTATTAGTAGTAGCAGAAGTAGTAAAGAAATTATTAAAATTACATTACAATTAACATGTATTAACAACTTAATATGATTATAATCTGAGGTCTGTCGTTCAAAAGTATTATTTCAGCACTGTTTAAATCTTTTTGTCAGAAATGATGCTAAATAAATAAATAAAAAAAAATTTTCAGGGGGCTTTTCACCAAAACATATATATAATTTACATTATTAAACCTATACACATTACATTAAAGTTAATATATATTAACATTTTCTTTTTAATATGCATAGTGTATATGAGTCAATTCTTTCTGTCAGAAATTATGCTATTAAATTGTTTGATAGATAGCTAGATAGCTAGATAGATAGATAGATAGATGATAGA